AAGGATACGGGCCAACAAAATAAATTTCTTAGACATGACAATTGAAAAAAAGGACAGTAAGTTGTGTTACAGCGTTTACAGGAAACCCACCTCCTCAAACCAAACGATACATGCAACGTCTTATCATCCCGTCTCTCACAAACTTGCTGCATACAATAGCCTAGTAAACAGAATGCTTAATTTTCCTCTTTCAAACCACAGATTACAATAGAGAACTAAATATTATCAAACAGATTGCAGTCTCCAACGGTTATAAGCCGAGTATGATCGACAAACTAGTTTCAAAATTCAATAATAACACACAAAACAAAAAACTGAATGTTACTGGAAAATCGGAAAAGAAATTCATTTGCATTGAATACAGTCAAACAGCCCAGAATGGACTCCACAAAGTGCTGAAAAAACACGGACTCCACCTGACCTTCAGAACAACAAATAAAACCAAACAGGCACTATCCCGTAATACAAGTGATAAGAACGAATTTGAAAAATCAGGGGTATATAAAATAAATTGCATGGAATGCCCTAATTTTTATATTGGACAGACTGGCAGAACTTTTACTCAGCGCTTCAAGGAACACTACCCCGACCCCAAAACTAATAAACAAAAATCAACGTTTGCCCAACACCTTATAGATACTAATCATTCTGTAGACAAAATAGAAAACAGCTTACAAATTTTACACATTTGCAACAAAGGGAATAAGCTAGATTCTCTGGAACAATTTGAAATATACAGTAGCTACAATAAAGAAGAAACAAAGCAAAATATTTTAAATGAAAAATTAAATTTCAATTCTCATGCAATATTTAATACAATCATCTCCCATAGCTCTGGACACAAGCAAGTTGACCTTTGTACCTCTGATAACAGAGGAGCTGAGACTTCTTAGTTTTCCTGCCAGTTCTGTCTCAGTCAGTGCCGTGATCGGGTTACAATAAGTGTTGTAGGCCTACATGATAATGTTTCGTTCGTACGTGTCAAATGTATGTACAGTTTTGTGTTTCAATGTAAATTTCTACAACTTGACGAGTCCAATTCGGATATTATAATGTTTCAAGTCTCAATGTTTCTGTTTACCCACTTGAAAATGCCAACATGGCGAAACATGTAGTGGATTGAAAAAGACACTATTTATTTGAACTGCAAGACGAGGTATGTTTTAATTTAGTTTATACTAAGCAGTTCAGGGGCTACAAAATGGAATTTGAACCTTTTACGACGCAAATAGAGATATTTAAAATTAGTTTCTAACAAGTTTTTAAACAACTCTAAGATGTAACTAGGATTACTTGAATTTAAGAATAACGTTTTCAACGTAGCTATATTTCACACTATGCGGCTCATTGAGCCGCACGGGTTCTCTAGTATTATTTATTTTAGTAATTTGCAACAGCTGTTGGCTGGTTACTACAATGTTTTGTTTTGTTTCCGTTATGATGTACCAGAGTTTATTATTCGTATGTCAATAAAACGTTTGCATTATATTCGTTCATATAATTAGTTTTTACCACCGGAATTTTACCCCCTGGTTTGTGACGTCACGTTTGCCCAGGGGGTAAAATTCCAGGGGGATCAAAATCCGCTACCCCAATGTAATGGTGTATTATTTTATGTAGGTATAACATCCCTTACGGTATATATTTTTTAAGAATATAAAAATTATCATAATTTTGTTCAGTCCTCCCAAAATTATGCACGATTTCAAGCAGAAGGTACTCGTTATATCTTCTCTAGGTTACATGGCCCTCTAAAAAATTGGTCATTAGTCCCAGCTGGCCTAGAACTGCCCAGCACGACATCCAGGACCATCATGACGTCATTACAGTACTGCACGCCACGCCCCCATCACGCGATCAGCTGTTTTTGACATTGGCCAAAGCCGGTGATTACCAGAAGAATGTCAGGTGGTTTCTAAAAATGGGCGATAATGCTGTGGTCAAGGCTCTGCTGACCGGCCGTGACCTACCTGTATAGTGTATAGCACGTCCCGCACCGGCTACTGTGTAATGTGTATTGCATACTTAGCTCTTTATCTATTATATTATCAAAGAATTAAATATGACTTGTTTATGGAAATATTTAAGTAGTAATCAAATCAAACAAATTCGGCAAATCTGCATGATTGCTGCGTCGGAGTTGTTTTAAATTGTTTTACTAGCATTATTCGTATTCGACATTATTTGACGAAAATTGTCCTGAAAACTCCCAGCCATGCTCTGATAAAATCTTGATCAAGAAAGACATTTCAAATTAATTAACATTATTGGAAGCAATTACTTTTTGTAAAACACCATGAATAATAAAAATAATGATTAAGTGCTACGCTAAATTTGTAAGAGAAATAATTGCATTCGTGCATTATTATACTAGCAATTACTGTATATTCCAGTATTACAACAACATACGCAATTACCTGTTAACTGGAAACATTGAACTTTGTACCACAATCGTCCGAGCGTGAAGATCGTGATTCTCTCCATGCTGGTGTTAAGAGATAAACAATATGTAACCTGGGTGATACGAGTGGGCCAAGGAGGTGGCATTTGCAGACAAACATATTAATCTTCTGCAAGAAATATGACTTTTCGCATCTGGCCTTGGACGGTCCTGCGATTTGCTTTTGAATGTTTTCGTAATTCCAAGTTGGAGAGCTGAAATTACCATATAAAATACCCTGAAAGGAAACTATTGGAGGGTGGATGGGTTTTTGGGGTTTCTAAAGTTAAGGTTGTTAGATTAAATACATCTAAGACTTTCTCATGTCTATAAGCAAGTACCATTGCCACTCTGTGAAGATCTAAATGTTTTAAAATGCAAACAATACTTGAAGTAATTGAATTTGTGTCCATAACAAGAGGGTAAACGTGGTACAAAATTTATATTTGATTCCCAGAATTTTCCTTTGGGGTTACAGAGTAATCTGTAATGTGGAATGAGTGTGAAATAATAGTTTTATTTCATGTATAACTTAAGTAATTCTAATTGCTATGAAGAGCTGTTAAAGTCAGAATTATTTCTACAGACATATGTATAGTTTTACTTTCAGGGATATCTTGTAGAGTATTCAAATCGATGACTGATGAATCAAAGATTATGATTACCAGGCGAGCAGAACACTAAAACCACTCCAACTGGATGATGAAAATCTTCCGAAATGCCACGCAGGGTTGTGTTATCCTTAATATTTCTCAAGATCGCAGTCTTGTGTGACCAATGGGAAGTCATTTAGGTGAAGGATGACACTCCGGGCTCCCGAGTTACGTGTGAGACTTCCACTGTCTCCGGTGACAACATTCAAGGATAAACACCTAATTATAATCTACGTTGGTATTAGATGCTAACTAAATCAAATGTATCGTAAAATGAGTAAGGAAAAAATGGTTTCGTAAGAAACGTATTTTTTATAACCCTCTAAATATAATATATCATTTTATTGCTAGAGCTGGTTCGAATGGATTTGATATAAACCTACCTTAGTATATCAATTCAAACCCCGTACTAAGAGCAGAAACCCTGCTAGTTTTAAAACCCTATACCGTTCTAGAATAGACATTTTACTAAGTGTAAAGTATTTGTGTAGATAAAAGATGATTTCCTTTTGGTAGAATTGCACGACATGAACTATATAGCAGGATGTCTAGACAAAAACAGATAATCAATTATTTTAGGTTCCAGCCATAATTATTCATGCGGAATTTGATTATGTTATAATATTTAAATTATACCGACACACCCGAGTGTGTTTCCAGGCAAAAAAAGTAAAACTGAGTTAATGAGATAAAAGATGTGTTACTAAGATCAGCTGGTTATTTAGTCAGGACCTAAAAAACCTCCAATGATTTTCTAAGGATCGAACCTCCAACCTTCTTATTAGGTTACCATTATATCCACCCAGCTCAATCGTCGTAAGTTCCGGCAACATTTTCTCATGCCCAGATTTGTCGTGTGTTCTTCTCGTTTAGACTTTATCGTCCATCTAGATCGTGCCTTAGCGCAGCAGAGCAGATGAAGGTTAACCTTTTATATCACCTTCAACAGCCTTGCGAACCCAGCGAAAATTGGGTCCCGGATGTGGCATAGAATATGCTGTAAAGGATACGGGCATTATAAACAGACCTCGGGAAGTAGAAATTATATGTATTGTACTGAAAACTAGGATAATTTAATATAAGGTGACGTGATCAAAAGATCCATGAGTAGGTCAGGTGAAATATGCGATTTGATTTGTGTCTTCATTCTTAAGGAAAATGTATAAATGAATAATAAAAATGTAAAGGAAAAAACATACTGTGAGGTACAGTTTGAGGACAAATGTAATAAAATAATATGACAATAAAAAGTTTGTTAGCTATATTTTAGTATATTTTCCAATGTAATAGCTTAAAGACATGATTTTGTGACACATGAACAGAGTACTTAAAGATTTATATTTCATTATACTACAAAATATGGGGAATCTATATTTACTGTTAATATAATCTATACTATTAAACAATTAAGGTGGGGTCTGTTTGTCTGGGCGGCTGCCATGACTAAAATACTAAACCGATACAGCTCAAATTAAGCACAAAGATTGTCCATATAACTAGGAATGTCATAGGAATATTCATTTCCCTGAGTTCCTCTCGGGCTACGCCCGAACTTTATGTCATGCTAAAGTTTTGACATGAGGTTTTCAAAAGTAAATATTGATTGGTCTCCATTGAAGCATGAGAAAATTCACAATATTTGTTTACCTTTGCGTTGATATTTCAATGTAAACATTCATAACTGCTAAATGCTTATTTTACAATGTCAGACAGCTGATCCAAACAATAAAACTAAAATATTTTGCACAACTATGTGGTAGGTTTATCTATGCCATTGATATATTTTAATGTAAACAGTAGGTACAACAGTTACAGTGTAGGTCATACCTTAAAAAAAAAATGCGGTTCTTTTTTTATATAAATTCGATCTACTTAACAAGTGTTTGGATTAGGCGGTATGGTACATCTTTCCGTTGCGAAGCACAGGTACAGAGCTAGTACTTAAATAAATGTATAACCCTTTAATGCTTAACAGCTTTGATTGTTTAAGGCATAGCCTTTTCCTTTTTTCTCATGTAGCAATTGGCTGCTTGAGGACCAGCACCATAGGGTTTATGAGCCAACGTGTTCAAATAATGTGATCCTCTTGCTCTGCAACACAGTAGTTTTAACTAAATTTAATATTAAATTAGAAAAAGAAGTGTAGGTTATGGGGTTACATTTTAGAGGAAAACATGATAAGTAAGTTTACAAGAAGAAAGTTGAGATAGTACGATTAGGATCTGTCATAGTTTTTAACAAGAGTATATTCGAAAGAAATATGATATTTTTTGCTGAACGTCAATGCATTAAACATAGCTGGCCAATTAATACATGTATTACATATTACAGTGATGGCCAATAGCCAAATAAAATATACAATCATATTCATATAGCACATCAAAATGAATACTGTTATGGTGTGTGGATTTACCGAAATATCATCCCCACAGGTAGATTTCTTTTAACTAATTAAACGAACAACGCTTGGTTGATGCCTCAAATGTAATGGTGTTTTTTTTACATTTCGGATGTGTGTAAGTGATTTTGTAGGAGTGTTATGTTTAGTAAGAGAAAAGTTCTAAGAGTTTTGTAGAAAATTTGTTTAGAATTTATGAAACTGGTGTAGAATGCAGTTGTCTACTTGGAATATTGAGAGGAGCAAGCGTCTGATTCATTAATATTGAGTAATATAACACCCGGTTGATTGTCCCCAATTACCAAGGAATCACATAAATGGAATTACTACATACAGTATCTAAAGTCCAGGTTAAATCTGAATCATGTACATAAGATGTCAACTTGCTGTATCCAAATACAAATCCACATCTGGTTAACTAAATAGGACGTCTACTAGCAGTATCCAAAGTCAATGGTGTACATGATTTACGCCATTAGAAATTCTACTTGAAGTATCAAAAGTCAATGCTATATCTGGTTCACATACATCAATTTGCAGTATCTTATGTCAATGCTTGATACACCTAATTGTATATTCATCAAGTAGTATATTGTGCTCGACGGTATTAATCCAATTGTTTTTTCTTTTTTTTTTAGCGAATTTCCCTATAGGGAAGTAGCTATTACCGTAGTTCTCTTGGTAAGACTTAGGCCCGGGACCGATTTACTTTTTCATTTTGATGTCCCCAGAGGCCAAAAACACCATTCGTTCAAATTTTTATATATGTATATATATATATATATATATATATGTCCGTGAACACGATAACTTGAGTAATTTTTATCCGATTTTGATGAAATTTGGTTTGAAGGTGTAAGGCGGGATAAACTTGAACGAGTTCGCGATCCAGCATGATCGGACCATGGGAACAGGGTTTTATGGGGGGTTTTATGGGGTAAAAATTGGGTTTTCTCACTTTTGACCCTCAAAATACAAAATTTCCCAATTTTTCTCCAAACCTCCTTAAAGAGCTTAAAAAAACAAACAATTCAGTATATCAAAGTGTTTGTGTACGGTTATTGGTTACGGAGAAAACTAAAAAAATGGTAAATTTAAAATTCCCATGTTATTCTTATGGAGAATATTGTAAAATGTTGTAGTTTGCTTGTTTATGGATATATTTTGATCAAACTTGGCAAATTTATTTATTTTATAGTGAGCTATCAATATTTTACTAAAAACACACTACTCTATTAGTTTCCTTGTAGCAGCAAACCTAGGTACTCGTTAAACCTAATGTTATTTAAATAGATCAATTAAAAAACCAATTCAGCCAAATGGAAATTCGCTTAGACGGCAGGTTTGCTGCGGCAGGGGTATTGTAATCCGTAATGTACTTGATTAAGTTTTTGCTAATAAACACATGTTAAAACTATTTTTTTAAAGATTTTACTGTTATCTGTCAAAACCGTCTTGTCCACGATACAATCACATAAAGGGAGTTTAGGCACTTGTTAAATTCCCAAAAAAATCACTTATGGACAATCCCTGGAGTCCGACTTGTACCACTTCAGATCCATACTTTCCCATAGTTGATTACAATGACTAAGCAAAATTACGTGAGGATCGCTGCATCATTTCAGGAGGAGTATTTTGTAAAATAAAAGCATACGTATAGTAAATGAGCTTCACTAGCTCCGCTCAATGAACTTCTTAACTAGGGTTTCGAAACTAAGTGGATCTACACGTAAAAACACGTTTAAATAAAGATATCTTTCAATAAAACAAATCATAATTATGTTTCAACCCGCATCGGTTTCACTTATACACTAAACTTGGTTGCCTGGAGAATTTGAAATCCTTTCCTAATTGAAATATAGAGAGATCCTAAAAAAACTTTTTGTGTTCAAAATTATTGTGTAACAAAAATTGGTATATTTTATACAGGAGATCTTAAGAACAGCTTTATTCTCTTTCGCCTGCTCCCCCCATTACAAAGCAGGGATATTTTTTTCATCCATGGACGCTAGGCACTGAATCGTTTTTCACACTACTTCAGGCTCGACCTAGGGGTTACGGCATTATCACTTAGAGAAAATCTATTGGTGATTTGGCGGGATTTGAACCCGGGACCCCAGGAACCGGAGTCCCGCGCTCTAACCACTAGACCAGCTCGCTATCCCCCAAAGCAAGGATATTGTACTTTTTATTCCTTGAACTCATGATGATCAGTTTCTACTTGTATTCTAAATATGCATCTGTTTTGCTCACCCTTCCATAGGCGGAAACGTGATTGGGACGGTTGCTCTGGAATTGCAAAGGCAGAACTTGAAACGTAACCAGCTCGGACATGACCTTGCGACCCACAGGTCAGGATATAGGATTACGTTCCAGAAATATTTCAATGCCTTCCAATGGCTGCAGCTTTCATGTAGTGCTGGAGAAAAGAATTAAATGATCAATTTTGTATATTTACACAAGAGAAACTACTATACTAAATTTGTTTATGTTGAGTAGAAGGCGATATGGAAAACAATGTTATGTTCCTCTAGTGTTGCTATTGTCCATTTTTTGAGGTTTATCATGCTTTTGCTCAAAGAATTTTTAGTGAGTTATCCGTTTAACTGAAAATGTGCATAACTATTCACTGGAAATTTAAATGGACAAAATACACTGTAATAGTCTTAGTCTGATGTGGCGTGGTCACACTGAGTGAATAAAGCTGGTTTAACCAGAATACAGAAGTGTATTTACGATTAGGGACACCATTTGCAGTATTTGCTGTTTAAAACCAAGTAAAGTTATATTAAAATAAACTCCCAGATGTAACCTTTTTCACAATATAAAGTATGGTTCTATAATTTTTGGTTGTCTTTTAATGTACCTTTAAAATTAGGAATACTTCCCTGCCCCACCATGTATAAATAAAATACAACCTGAGAGCTATAACACATATACTTACTAAAGTAACATCCAGGCTGTGTCCAACCGTTGTTGAAGATGAAATCAGCTGTGCCTCTGCGGTGGAATGTTCCAAACGCCATTGAGTTGGTGTGGTATATGTGCACTAACTGTGCGTCGTCCTTGGAGATGGGTTTGTTGAAAAACCCGGATAGTCCAAGTGAGAATGGATCTAAAGCTGCAAAAGGTGCCTATTTTAGTAAATACTCTTAAATTGATTTATCCTCTAAATAAATTTAGCGCTTGATATTAATCTTTGTCCAAAAAACTACAATGATGTAGGGCCTAATTAAGTTTTGAATTTCACCAAAACTAAAATGCCAAGCCCCAATGAAAAAACAGAATCTCTGTTTCTCTAGAAGTATTAGCTCAAAATGAAATAAAGACATTAGGTTACATGATGAAAATTAACGAGAGCCATTTTGAAACGAATATGGTATTTTATATTTTTCATCTACTGCTATTGGTGAGCGTGAAAAAACAACAGCGTTCAAAGACTGGAAGGGAGAAAATGCTAAACTAAAGTAAGATCATTTATGTTTATCTCAATTTTGTTTTTGCATATTTTAACATTAGAGAGTTGAAATGAAAATAAATGAAAATACTTTTTATTGAGGCGAACATAAGGACCACATGGCCCTTTCTTACAGTTAACCTCTAGAGTTGTTATTGTTTCAGCGACTAAATGATCATGGTTTGTAATAAAATGGTTTTTTTAGATTTTTAGCGAATTTCCCTATAGGGAAGTAGCTATTACCGTGGGTGGCACGGTAAGACCTAGACCCGGGACCGATTTACTTTTTCATTTTGATGTCCCCAGAGGCCAAAAACACCATTCGTTCAAATTTATATATATATATATATATATTTATATATATATATACGTCCGTGAACGCGATAACTTGAGTAATTTTTGTCCAATTTTGATGAAATTTTGTTTAAAGGTGTAAAGCGGGATAAACTTGAATGAGTTCGCGAACCAGCACGATCGGACCATGGGAACGGGGCTTTACGCGCGGTTTTATGGGGTAAAAATTGGTTTTTCTCACTTTTGACCCTCAAAACACAAAATTTCCCGATTTCTCTTTAGACCTTATTAAAGAGCTTAAAAAACAAATAATTTAGTATATAAAAGTATTTTTGTTCGATTGTTAGTAACGGAGAAAATTAAAAAAATTGTAAATTTAAAATTCCCATGTTATTCTTATGGAAAATATTGTCAAATATGTTGTAGTTTGCTTGTTTATGGATATATTTTGATCAAACTTGGCAAATTTATTTATTTTGTACTAAGCTATCAATATTTTACTCAAAAACACACTTTATTAGTTTCCTTGTAGCAGCAAACCTAGGTACTCGTTAAACCTAATGTTATTAAAATATATTTAACTGAAAATCAATTCAGACAAATGGAAATTCGCTTAGTCGGCAGGTTTGCTGCGGCGGGGGTATTTATAGAAAATGTGTCTATTTATGATATTATTTAAACTATCAACCCTCACATCCAATCAAGGCTCGGTCTGATATCTCATTGGGAGGGTAAATATGACTTGTTTAGGGAAATATTTGAGTTGAAGTCCAGTCGGACTAACACAAATCCTAGTCTGCAGATTTGCTGCAGCGGGGCATTTCTTACCTGTTATGGATTTTATTTTATTTCCACCATTCATAGCAGATACATATCGACCTATATTTCCTGAGAGTTGAGCTGAAAAGCAAAAACCCACAATATGTATCTGATTGGCATTTATCAGTCCCTTCCGAATCCATGAGATAAAAGAGTCACCCAGAAGTTGACTCAACTCCTGTAACTGAAAACATATGTAATCGTAAGTATAAACATAAACTTGAACACTGCTAAGCTATAACATTATTATATCATAAAATGTGTTTTGTTTTAAAAATACCCCCGCCGCAGCAAACCTACCGACTAAGCGAATTTCCATTTGTCTGAATTGATTTTCAGTTAAATATATTTTAATAACATTAGGTTTAACGAGTACCTAGGTTTGCTGCTACAAGGAAACTAATAAAGTGTGTTTTTGAGTAAAATATTGATAGCTTAGTACAAAATAAATAAATTTGCCAAGTTTGATCAAAATTTATCCATAAACAAGCAAACTACAACATTTGACAATATTCTCCATAAGAATAACATGGGAATTTTAAATTTACAATTTGTTTAATTTTCTCCGTTACTAATAATCGAACAATAGTTATTTGTGCAACTAGTGAGAAAAGTGAGCAATTGACTCACTCGAGAGAAATCCTTACTCACGAGCCGTAGGCGAGTGAGGAATTGTTTCTCGAGTGAGGCAATTGTACTTTGAACTCGAGTTGCACATTATACTTTTCCTACAGTTACCATAAAACCATAATTAGTTACCATAATTTGTAAAGAAACATAACCTATTTTTACACAGAAGTGAACTTTTAATATAACATTTAATGTGAAGTGGCAAATACAACAGTAAAACAGCTGACCAGCTGATTTACAGCCAGTGCTGCCAACGTATTTCGCGCGCATACGACGTTGACTGCATGTTACGCGCTCACTAGTTCGTGCCTTCACGTTGCAAATCTGGAGTGAGACAAAGTAATTAGAGTGAGACAATGTTAACATTGTCTCACTGATGAGTGAATTGGCCACTTTGCTGTCTCAAATCAGTGAGAGAACATGTACATTGTTAGGTAACTGTAGGAAAAAATACTTTTATATACTAAATTATTTGTTTTTTTTAAGCTCTTTAAAAAGGTTTAAAGAGAAATCGGGAAATTTTGTGATTTGAGGGTCAAAAGTGAGAAAAATCAATTTTTACCCCTTAAAACCCCCCGTAAAGCCCCGTTCCCATGGTCCGATCGTGCTGGTTCGCGAACTCATTCAAGTTTATCCCGCTTTACACCTTTAAACCAAATTTCATCAAAATCGGACAAAAATTACTCAAGTTATCGCGTTCACGGACGTATATATATACAGGGTGTCCATAAAAAACGTTTCAGGACTTTGGGAAATGAATCCCCATACTAAAAGGAAGAAAAAAGTTTATGGGAAGGTATGTCCGAAAATGCATATTAACCCAGATATCCGCCATTTTGTTTTTTATACAAACATATTTTTATCTGTGAAGTTTTTTATCCGATGATTATGAAATTTGGTAAACATGTTAACATACACAAGACCTATAATAGAAAAAATTTTAAAGTTGTTCCGATTGTAAATTTCAAAATGGCGGCCGTTTGAACTTTTATAACTTAAATAACTCAAAAACGGCTAATTCTATGAAAAGATAATTGAATACTTTTTTTTTGCATTTTTAATTTCCTATCAAACGATACCAAGATCAAAAAGATCGGACAAAAGATAACTGAAATATAACTTTTTTGTGTAAAAATAAGGCAAAAATTAAGGGTTCCTCTACTAACTTTGCCTTATTTTTACACAAAAAACGTTATATTTCAGTTATCTTTTGTCCGATCTTTTTGATCTTGGTATCGTTTGATAGGAAATTAAAAAATCAAAAAAAAAGTATTCTTGACATTTTTTCATAGAATTAGCCGTTTTTAAGTTATTTAAGTTAGAAAAAATTAAACGGCCGCCATTTTGAAATTTACAATCGGATCAACTTTGTTATTTTTTCTATTATAGGTATTGTTTATGTTAACATGTTTACTAAATTTCATAATCATCGGATAAAAAACTTCACAGTTAAAAATATTTTTGTATAAAAAACAAAATGGCGGATATCTGGGTTAATATGCATTTTCGGACATACCTTCCCATAAACTTTTTTCTTCCTTTTAGTATGGGGATTCATTTCCCAAAGTCCTGAAACGTTTTTTATGGACATCCTGTATATAAGTCTATATGTACAGGGTGTTGAAAATGTCTGGAACCAGCATTATATCTGGTGAGTGGTTAAAGAAATACAACTGATATTTTGTGTACGGATATACTATGGTTTTACCTATCCTTTGGGGCCTTATGACGTTTTTTACCACTTATAGGGAACGTCCTGTGGAGGATGCAGTAAAAAGTTTTAATGGAAGCCTATGGTAAATGATACATCATTTTAAAGGCCATTTTTTTCTGAGTAAGGAGCCACAAGTTTCATCTCAAAAGGACCACCCTAGCGAAAATGGTGACTGTTTGAAGGTTTTGAAAATAATTGAATTTTAAATTTCAAACAGTCGCCATTTTTGCTAGGGTGGTCCTTTTGAGATGAAACTTGTGGCTCCTTACTCAGAAAAAAATGGCCTTTAAAATGATGTATCATTTACCATAGGCTTCCATTAAAACTTTTTACTGTATCCTCCACAGGACGTTCCCTATAAGTGGGTTTTTAAATTTCAAACAGTCACCATTTTTGCTAGGGTGGTCCTTTTGAGATGAAACTTGTGGCTCCTTACTCAGAAAAAATTGGCCTTTAAATTGATGTATCATTTACCATAGGCTTCCATTAAAACTTTTTACTGCATCCTCTACGGGACGTTCCCTATATGTGTTAAAAAATTTCATAAGGCACCAAAAGATAGGTAAAACCATAGTATATCTGTATACAAAATATCAGTTGTTTTTCTTTAACCACTCACCAGATATAATGTTGGTTCCAGACATTTTCAACACCCTGTATATATATATATATATACATATATAAAAATTTGAACGAATGGTGTTTTTGGCCTCTGGGGACATCAAAATGAAAAAGTAAATCGGTCCCGGGTCTAGGTCTTACCGTGCCACCTACGGTAATAGCTACTTCCCTATAGGGAAATTCGCTAATAGAAGTGCTAGAGTATCAATTACGTTTCATGATATTAAAACAAATTAAAAGTAAAGATTTACTTTAGATTAAATAAGTTATTTATCTTAATTGATATTTTCAGTTCGATTTAGAACCATCAACAATCATAACAAGTGAAAGGTGGGTAGAAATTCCACTCAAATAAAACTATAATATGACACAAATAGCTTACAATTACTATTGTAATTTGATAGAAATTAGCTTTCTGTAAGTCCTAAAAATAGTTTTAACCACTTTTAGCTAGTGGTCTAGAGTGAGGAAAAAACTGTATGAAAATACCACAACTTTTATCTTAAAATTCTAAATTTAAAGGGTGTATTTCTTCAGAAGAAAAACTTATAGCAACATTAAAGTCCCGTACATGTAGTTCGCAGTACAGACGGGGTGACAGTGCTTGGCATGTAGGAGAGATCGAGCAAAATTGATTAAAACACAATTAAATGATCATCCATTTAATAAGAGAACAGAAACCGGAGATAAAACCTACACACTACGTACATCCGTACTCGCTTCAAAAACAAGTACATTTTGGTGGCAAGAATGTAGTGATTCGAGAGGAAGCATTCTCGCGTAAGTTGTCGCGTAGTATGATCACTCTGCGCACGTTTCAATTTGTTTCATTGTACTGTATTTCTGAACTACTCTATGTGTTTACTCCTGCACCCTCGCGTGTGCTTGCGCAACTACTTTACTGGCGCGAGCGTGCATGCAATGAAAGCAGCGAATATACGTCTCCGTCTCTACTGTCTCCAGTAGAGACGGCAAGTTGCTGGCTGCAAGTACTGTCCATCACGTCACTTGCCGTGTTTTCCTATACACCGGGTGAGTACTATCGGCAAGTGATAATGAAAGAGCTTGCAGTCAGTCTGGTTTGAGGTCACGAATGAATGGTGTCGATAGTTGAATTTAATTTGTGTTGAGCACGTTGATATGACTTATGTTCCACAATAGTTCGTAATTTTGAAAAATCTCTAAAAACTTAGTGATGTCATCACAGCTCCATTTAATGATTTTTTCCTTCTAAGCAGGGCTCTTGTCTGACATTTTTAACAAACACACTGTCACTTCACACGATCAACTGATAAACTCTGATTTCACTTGCCTTTGTGCTCTACTGGTGGCAAGTGCATGGCAAGTACACGTTTTGATATGAAAGTTCTGGCCGCCAGTGGCCCACGTGACCCACTACTTGCCACGGCCAGGCCAGTAAAATCAAACAAGTTTGAGTTTTCTTACCGCCAGTAAATACTTGCCGCTGGAAAGGAAAGTACCCCTATACACAAGGAAAGTATGCAGTAAGTTTAACTGGCAAGTACTTGCAGCCAGCAACTTGCCGTCTCTACTGTCCCAGTCTATACGCTGCTTTACTATTTACTAAACTGTACAGGCACTTCGTTCTTAAGCAAACGAGGCAACCACATTTTTGACTTTATGTATTTTAACATTTGTATTAGAAGAACCATTTACCTCAGTGTTAATTCCAGGTATAAATACCGATTTGAAAGCAGATCCCACCATAAAGTTCATAACCTTTGGCATGTCAAAAAGAAACACGTTGTACTCATTCTCTATTAACCTTCTCAGGGCCAGTGCTGTTGACAAAAAATACTATTAACATCGAAAATCTAAAAGTTTTTTTATTTAATAATTGTAAGCGATTGATTGTATTTAAATGAGAAATTCAATTATACTTACTACCCTTTTTCAAAGTAAAGTACCTCGGGATCGAGTTTTGCTCAGGGAATATCATCAGTACAAACATTTCCTTATTCTTTATTCGTGGTATGACACGGCTATTGCTAGACTACCTTGTGGTCTTCCAGTGAGAGCAGGTCAAAATTGATGCTTACACCAATGATGTTATATTATAACATTATTCTGACTAGCTGTTACCCACGGGCTTCACCCCGTTTGACTTCAAAAGTATTAATAAAAACTATTGACTGGTTAAGTTGCTGAAGTAAACCAAACAGAATACAGTAATACAAACAAAAAATTACACCTGATTTTTATAAGGTAATACATTTAAAGAATAACAAACAAATAAGTACAGCTGAGGCATTTTTAACATTAAGTATTTGTAAAGTGTCCTTTAGAAAGGAATCACGGGCAGTTTATGAAATAATGGATAGTTTTGCGCAAGGTTTCTCGTCATGACGAACATTTTAAGTATATGGTTTATGGGGTGTGACTTTTTTTCTCAAAGGTTCATGGGTACTTTGGAATTTATATATGGATTTTAACACCAGTCCATGATATGATGTGGCATCTCCGTTCTCATAGTGCAATTATTTTGGTATTCGAACGGTGTTAAGGCACAGTTTGTAACAAATTTCATTACTGGATAGGTATTAATTGAGTCACTGCACCTACTTTAATATAACATATTTGAACAAAAACCCTAATAGGTAAATGGAAGCTATCTTTGTCTTCATCAATATACTGAAGTCGACGAAAGCTCTCCTTGGGACTTCATGAACTATATTAATTTATTAATTCGTTTTACAATTAAAAGCAGCATAGTTAAAAGAAAATACAACCTAGGTATTGAAGTTACCGTACTTAACACTCACCGGTTACAATGTTCCTTACGCTCGTGTGGTAGGCGCTGGACGCGCTTGCGTGTATAAGGAAGATTGACTCCTTATCCTTTCTGTAACCAACACCATTGACTATGCCAACATCGTCGGTCAGAAGCGTATCAGCGGAAGCCAGCGGCTCTTCATCGTATTCGTACCAGTGAGGTATTTCTTGTTCAAATGCCCTTAGAGCGTCGTCAGGACTCCCAAGGAACCGCGGTAGTACGCCACCAGCAGCAGCTCCCGACCCCTCGGGCATCCAATCGTTTCTAGGAAAGAATTGAGCATTGCTTTAAAACCACTCAAAAAATATAATAATTGGATAGATGATTGGTGGTTATTAATTGGTAATTGTTGGAAAACCACCTGTTTTAAGTTATCACACATATGCCTACATTTTATAGAAAAGTTACAAAAAATTCTCTGAAATGTCAGATTGTATTCAAACGATGAACAGCAAACAGTCAATCAAACTTAATTATAACTATATTGACAAAGAAGAAGACAGAAAGAAAATGTAAATTCTCTTGAGGCTCTGAACCGGAGGCCTTTAGTGTTCCCTTCCCTCATTTGTTTACATTATGACTAGATGGATATTCTTACAATATTTTTAAATAAAACAGCTGTTAATATTTACTGGTGTGTGTGAGTTTGTCACTTCATATGAACGTATTACATATTGTAAAGAACCAAATTTTACTCTTCCGCCTAGCAAACTCAAAGCACAAGTATAACTTCAATAAGCACGCTACACTTATACGTCAACTGCTTACAAAGGACGCTTATTCAGCAGAGTATCCGTCCTTCGTACGGGTTGGCGTATAAGCATAAAAAAATTAAATAAAAAAAAATTAATAGTGCTGCACCCTTTTGGTAAACCTTATAACTTTTTAATCTATCTATCTATATATTAATAGGCAAGCATGTTTCTTTAAAACCTTTTTTCTCAGCTCGTGTGTATCGTAGGGAAAATCTACGCATACCGTTAGAAAGCTATTTTCCTGTAGGTGTGCAGAATCCCTTTATAAATTAAAATAGGCTCAAAAATAAGCACAAAAAATGAATTTGAAATTTTAAAAAATTAACATGGGTCTTATGGGTTGCTATGGTGATGACAAAATAACAACACAATATAAACAGAAAATCAAAACAAATGGAAGACATTCCAATCACATATTTTATTTACAGTGTGGGATGAAAATAGAGAAGTTTGTACAATACATACTTTTGGTCGATTTTTCGACCACGGGGCGTGCTCTCGTACTTATTTAATACGCAAGCAGGATTTTTGTGACAATTACTCCTCCGAAACTACTGAACCGATTGACATGTTTTTGGTGTCATTGGAAAGAGCGTAAAGTGAAGTTGTGCAGGAAACTTTCTTTTTAGGGAAATAATTAGAGAGTGAGGCCCTGGGGCCCTTTAAAGTTTCGTATTTCTCCATAAGATTAACATGGGAAACAAACATTGTTATGAAACTCCAGCTGTTGTCTGAAATGCTGTTCTGCTATTTAATTTAATTTGTTTACAATGAGAATTTGTTTCTTGGTGCCATGTGGACAATGAATAATACTTTTGCATATAGCCTATTTTAAATGCTATACACTATATAAAATGATAGTACTGTAATACTAAGAGATCTTAATTATTTAAATAATCAATAAGCAGGATTGAGCCTTTGCCTATATGTTCCTGGTAAGTATGTTGTAACTGTTTCTCATAGTATATTATAGTATCTTTAAAGTAAAACCGAATATTTGTTTTGCATTCTCACCCCGTAGCGAAGCACGGGCAGAGCAACTAGTGCTATTTAATATCATAGAGCCAGCTTGTGTAGTTGAAACAGCTGAAAGCACAGAAGATACGTCAAATAACCTTATAATAATAAATTTACACTTATACTGTTTACTCACAATACGGTAAATACATATAAAAGATGGTAAGTGGTGATCGACACTCCATTCATCATCAGACCTACTAGTAATAGGCGAATACTATTATAAGTGTTTATTGACTTATCTTTTGTGCTTTCAGGTAAATTAATTACACGTACGATGACGATCAAGAAGTTTGAAACAAGTTTTTGAAACAGCTGACAAAGTTATTTTATTCCTTTTAAATATGAATACTCATAAGGTTAACATGGGGAACTCCAAAGCCACTGGGGCGGAGCCCGAAAGAAGGTCCATATGTTAATCGGGAATGTAAGCTATCATCACACCAAATTTAAATCCAATCTGACCAGTATTTTTCGCGTTTACTTGTCATTAACATCCATCCATCCATCCATACATACATACCATAGACTAACCTATGTTTTATCTATGTACATACATACATACATCCAAACTTTCCAACTTATAATATTAGTAGGATTACAGTACATACACAATGTGGAACGAAATTAGTGTTAAACAATTTATGTGTTAAACTGGTTAGTTTTGGTGACAAAATGACACCAATTTAGGTTTCCAAACAGGTGATGTATAGACGTTTTTCTGTACTTAACTGGACTTTTTCAGTTAATAACCTTTAAGGTGATGTATAAAAACCTACTGTTTCTTTGATATTTCGAGTTTCTCTTGAAAAACACGGAATGGCCAAAACTTATATCCCTTTGAAATAACATGTATTTGCTTATATAATATGGCAAAAAGCTGCATTCAAAATCAAGCTTAAAAAGAAATTTTTAGGATTAACAACCTTATGATCCTAATTTTGTGATAAATTTTTAATTAGACCTAGGGTAAATTTTTTTCGTTATTGAGAAAAATATAATATTGTTTACGTGTTAGTTCTATGGTATATTTACACTATGTGCAAAATTGATTTAATGCAAAAAACACAACTTGTATGATAATAATGAATGATATTTTGCTGTTTTGCTCTATGTTTTCTGCTTGTTTTTGGCCTGCCAGGTCGCCAGACCTTATTATATAAATAAGTCTAACAATATTAATAAATATGAAATAAAGACGTCTACTTGGCTTTTTTGTGTGGCTATGTTGAAAAAAAAATAGTGCTTCACCCCGTTGGTAAACCTTATAACTTTTTAATGCTATTGCATGTCATAGAACCAACTAAAATAGTTGAAACAGCTGAAAAATTTCTTTAATTCCTTTTAAATATCATAAGGTTAACATGGGAAACTACTGACCCACTGGGGCGGAGCCTGAACGGATTTTTGAGATAAGAATAGGCTTATAATTTAATCGGGAATGCGAACTATCATCATGCCAAATTTCAGCCCAACCCGTCCTGTAGTTAATGCGTGATTGAACTTCAAACACACAAACAAACATACAAACAAACACACAAACTTTCACCTTTATAATATTGTGCATTTATAATGCACCTTTATAATGCAGGGGTGCATTTATTTATACATTTAAGACAGCACTATAAATTCCTTAATATTCTTATAAAGATCCCAATCTAAGCAAATGTACATGTTTTAAGAGATAATTCAATTTGAGCAGTTTTGTGTTTTTCAAGAGAAACTCTTAAATTTGGGAATAACAAATCAAAGAAACAGAAGGTTGTTATACATCATTGTAAAGGTTATTAACTGAAGAAGTTTTTTGTAATATTTGAAATTCTACTCAGTCCAGTTTAGCGTAGAAAACCTTAAGTACAAGTTATTGAATTTTTCGAAACAATCTCAAATTTAATCTCTCATTGCAGAATAAGAGCTCATACAGACTTTTCATCTCAGGCTTTGTACTATTACTATTGGAAATTGAATATTGATTCTGAAAATAACAATACATTTGAAATTTTAAAAAAATGGTTTGTACTATTATGGCCACTTTAATTAAAAAATACAAATATTTGAAAAAATCTTAATTTGTCTGTTATACCAGTGAGGGTATTGACAACTGAATTGGTGTCATTTTGTCAGTGATACTTAGTAGTTTAACACATGAAATTTGTTTACACTAACTTTGTTCCACCCTGTAAATATATAAGTTTAATCTTAATGTCTTACCTTACTTTTCGTAGCTTTATATTATTCATGAAATTCTCTTTCAAACTTAGTGTTCCTAGGGAGTTGTTCTTCACCATTAATACGTTTGAACAAAAAGTCAATGCTAAAACAATGGTTAATATGACTTAACTATCATAATTTAGTTAATTAACACACAAAATGACATAAACTACAACAGTTAGGCAAAGCTTGTAATAACAAAGGTTTTAAATCTTAAAATTACATAAAGTCAATATATTTCGTTCTTTATTACAAATTTGCCATTGGATACAAATTATTCAATTATTTGAAATCTCAGCACCAAGAGATAACATTCTATGACTGTAATTATTATAATGATTTATTTAAATTAACAATTACTTTTCTTTGATTGTCTTAAACTTAACTAACTTACGCACACTTACATAACAGGAGATTGTTGATTTGTCCCCTCATAATGACAAACACTCGTAGTAAACTGTATGTTACATGCAATAAACAAGTCGACTGTGGTATGAAACGTTACTTGCAATTATACATCAGTCGCCAGCTGCTCTCCAATCACCTAATAAGAGCAATCAATTTGAAATGACGGTTGATATGTTTGGTACACAACCGTTAGAGAGATATTTACATATAATGCTCGAGTCGAATCAATCCACAAAGTATAAGTATAATGTTAATGTAATAAAATGATAACCTAATATTGGTAGTAACCAAATGAAATATGTTTTGAATATCATAATTTCTAATTTAGAAAAAAATTTGACGATTAACTATGTTTTTAATAAGAAGTAAAATACTTGGAACGACTAGGGTTTTTTTATATTGAGATATTGAAAATCAGAAGTCTCCATTTAATTGAACGGATTTTTATGCCGAAAGCCAGCGGCAATACCACATGTTAAATATTAGTTGTTGGTGATTTATATATATTTATCTGTCTAAAACTTCGTTCGTAGCGAATAAGCTCACAACCAAAATGCAAAGTTCTTATGACAGCCCTCTCAGATCACCACGCTCAGATAGCTTCCATAAACTGTTCTCTGACTAACATAGATAATCCAATAAAATATAAACTTTTCAGAGGTTGCAATAATACTACTATACAAAGCTATTACTGTAAGCTATTACTTAAGCAGTACAATTGGATACCAGCAACTCCTCCCTACCAATAAAACTCCGTTTTCATAGTCCGGTCATGCTCGGGCATCATGGTTTTCGATCTCGTTAACATTACCGTAGGCTTAGACTTTTGTAACAAATTCCATCTAAATTGGATTATTTTTACGCGATTTATCTATCGTGCTAACGGACACACACAAAAAATAAATTCAAATTGGTGTTTTTAAACGCGTCCACAAAATTGAGCGGAGTTATCAGGACATTATTTTGTCATTGACCCTCACCATCTACCTTTATTATTATTCATTATTCATTACTTTCATTGTTTTAACAACAATGGCAGATGCACTGTTCAATATTTACCGAGGTACTGGGCTAAAAATATGGAGTTAGCACGAGTTGGGATGTCAAAAAAATCCTCAACAATAAAAAAAAAAAAAAAAAAATCAAATTTTCAAAATAACTGCATTGGATATGTATAGATCTAAAAAATAAAATTCCCATTCTTACATGTAATACACTTATATACAAATAGATGCAAGGTAACCATTTAGAGGGCTAAACAAAGCACGGCTGGACAACGTCCTTGGCTGGACAGCACTGGACCTTTCTCATGGGGGGGGGGGGGGGCAGAACAACCTATCGAAATCTTTCACAAGCCACCCTGACCTTGAAATCACCCTTATCATTCCATTATTGATGCCAATATCAACAGATCTTTGATAGGATCTCCTCCTCTTTGGCAACTATGAGTGGAAGGGATACGAAAGTGAAGCATCAATATGAATTGAGAAATAATATAAGCATTGTACGTAAACATATTTTGCTATTATACTATTTCTATAAAGACCATTTACTAGAATAATTCTCAAGTGTATACAGTATACATGGTGGCTTTGATAGTCAGGGGGCAGAAAACCTATGGCTTTTTCGTTTCGGGAATGAGATATTAAACTTCAGGGGACTTTTAAAACAATATCTAATAGACAACTTTTCAATTTGATCGGATGGACCCAAATTAGGTTTTGTTTTGTGATGCATAGATAAAAGGTAACATACAAATATAGGTGATGTTATTTGATGGATTAAAAGAAATTCTACAAACGGGTGTACATGTTTTGGTAAAACGTCTATGAGATAATTATCACAATTGATAATGCTATCCAAAGATATTTCTCCTTCCATTCTACATGTGTAGACCTCTCTCTTCCAATTCTACACTTGTTCTTCGCTTATCTTTGGTACAAAAAATTGCCAAATGTGTCCCCATCTTAATGGGTAAAACCATTAAAACATATAAAGTACCTACACATATAGAACATTTACCTGTCTAAACCTATGATTCTAGAGATAAGGTAGTAGAACTTATACGTAGGTTTTTTTTTAACTTACGAAGTATACAATTTTCTACACTTACGTTTGACTTATGTCTAATATCAGTATTTAAAATTGTAATCGATGTTTAAAAAGACCCCTCTTTTAATATATCATGGGGATTTCCCAAGTCCGCTTTTGTGGACAACCTACATTGCATTCATTGTTTTACTACCATTGTTTGTCGATTTCTTGGCTAGCGGCACGAGGCTGGTGTAAATCAGCTGATTGGGCAAAACAGCTGACGTGCAGCGAACAAAGTATGAAATAATCGCAGTCAGCTGTTTTCTATGGGTGTGGTGGCCAACGCCCGTAAGTTACATAACTTGCTTACAATTACATGCACGGTGGTAAGCTGTGAAACTCATAATTACTGCGCTTCATCAGTGGTTGATCATTCTTTGGTTGGATATAAAACTAAACCAAGTTGTTGAAAAGAACACATTGTAGAACGCAATAATGAACAGATCTATGTCTAATTTGAGGCAAATTCCTTCCTAGAATACGAACCACTAATGCATTTTAGCATTGAAATGAAAACTGCAAGCTGACTAAACATGATATTGTAAAATCTGAAGATAGTTATACATTTGATGCCTGAGAACCATATAGTGCGTTTATGGCGAGATATATATATATATATTTTTTTTTTTGTTAGGATTCATTTTAAAATCTGCTCTAACTCTGTGGTTACATATACAGGGTGGTAAAAAAGTCCCTGGACAGTTAAATATTTTAAAAAATAATGCAGATAGAGCTACAATACTTGGTACAAAGCAACATCTGCCATTTTGCGCAGGATCAACCTTTTGAAGTGCGGTTTGCGGCATTGTATTTTACTAAAAAATACCTTTAATTTGATGTGCATATTGACCTATGCTTCCATTTAAGATTTTCTTCCGACTCCTTGTGGGCCGTCCCCCTGAAGAGTTATTGGATCACTGAATATGTGTTAAAATAGAGTTTTATGCCCTGTAACTTTGTACCAAGTATTGTAGCTCTATCTGCATTATTTTTTAAAATATTTAACTGTCCAGGGACTTTTTTACCACCCTGTATATTAACCATAATTTGTAATCTTACTAATATTATAAATGTGAAAGTTTGTGTGTTTGTTTGTTTGTTTGTTTGTTTGAAGTTCAATCACACATTAACTACTGGTTGGATTTGGCTGAAATTTGGCATGATGATAGCTCACATTCCCGATTAACATATAGAAATATTCTTATCTCAAAAATCCTTTCTGGCTCCGCCCCAGTGGCTCTGAAGTTCCCCATGTTAACCTTATGAGTATTCATATTTAAAAGGAATTAAATAATTTTGTCAGCTGTTTCAAAATAACAGAAGTTGGTTCTATGATGTTAAATAGCATTAAAAATTAAAAGGTTTACCAACAGGGTACAGCACTATTAATATTTTTGTATTTATGACAACAACCAACTAGCAACAAAAAGCTGTGATATAGAATGAGAACTTTACTTTTTTCTATTGTTTAGGTGCAGTGGTAGAAAATTAAGGCTATGATAGATTTGCTATACTACAGCATACCGTAAATTAAAAGAACCAAATTTTCTTAAACCGTGTCCTCTCCCATTGCAAACGCAAAGCCAAGTATAACTGCATTAAGCATTTTGTATACTTATACGCCAACCCCGTACGAAGGACGGGTACTCTGCTAGTACCACAATAATGCTGATTATTATACCAAATGAGTTGACAAATAAGAAAAGATAATATGTTTACACTCGGCATTACATGACAATTATAATTGTCATATTCGTCCTTATACAGGATATTTTACAGAGTTGCATGAATTATTGATGTATAAATAATTCATAATTAACTTTTTAGAGTTTAAATTCTGGATGATTCAGAATATTAAAGGTTTTAAAACAATAAAAAGGCAGGATGACAACATAAATTATAACTTTTAGTAAACTAGCCATTAAACATAATACAAACCATACATTTATTTATTTATAACATTTATTTAATTAATCCCTAATTCTTTTTGGATTTGGTATTAAAAGTTAATATAACCTTTTTTGAAATTTACCCAAAATTTAGCATTACTGAATCCCCGTTTTTAGTTTATTTCTTTAATACATTCTGTTAAGGTGTCAGGTGTGATATGACTTAGGGTTCCATCAAATTATGTCTTCAAAGTGAATTGTTCCCCTTACCCCTGGAACAAATAACCCAAAACCTACTGTCATTTTTATAATGTTAAAAGCTTTGTAGGCCTACTGTAAGAAATACAATTTTAAATTAAATACAGTAAAGATGGGCAATAGTTCTACGTTCATAAAAACTTAATTGGCTGCATGTATAGCTGTTGATTTCCACTATACACTACTTTAACTAACTTAAGTTCAATTTGAAAATTTACAATGGTATGGTAAAATATAATGGGGTAACAGAAATAAGATACTTGGGCACTTAATATACAGGATCAGTTCATAAAACCAAAGTTAGGTACTACTTGAATTGTAAGAGCTTTAAGGGACCGAAGTTTCCAGCTAGAGAGGCCTATCATTGTCTTGTTTTTAAATACGTGGACCCACACTTAAGGTCGGCTCCAAACATCTACTGTAAGTCTGGGTCTTACCTGAGAACCAAAATACCATTTATAATTGGTGAGGTTTATCATATGTCAGAAGACCACGCTCTAACCGGGCCAAACCGGTAGTGGCAAATTTGCATTTATAAAGAATATTGAAGCCCACCGTCTTGTGTAATCGTTCAAAGAATCTACCAAAACAGATCCTGGAAGCCCATAGGACAAGGGCTTCAACACCGTCAATCAGATTTCAATTAAAACTGCGGAATTCACCGCAGGGTAGAGGTGACACATTCGGACCACTAGGTCAGTGTTTTTGGCGCGCAATGGCCGTGTTTTGGCGGGAAGGTGAACCGCAGTTGCGACAATGTTTACCTCTTGTCAGACCAAAACATTACGTCACAAATCAGCTGTTTTGTCGAATCAGCTATGTCTATAATTATCTTGTTAACTCTTTT